CACCCCGGCCACTTGACCTGCTTTAGATGCCTGACGCAATTCCCTGTCTTATTCCCGTGTTTCTTTACGTGAACTCTTGTCTTGCCTTTGCATGTGTTTGTGACGGGTACCACCGCTGGGGAAGGACACGTTCACCTTTTCGTGAACACCTGGTATCATCAGAATCTGATAATTCATAAACACATATTATTATGGAAAAGTTCTTTTCGTTTTTAATGGACTTACAGCAACACTTATTGGTGAGGTAATGTGTTGAAAATATATTCAGGTTTTCGGGAAGCGTTTTACTAGCATTTGAACATGAACAAGTCTTTGACTCAAATTTCAAAGAAACAATACAAACATGGCGTTAAAGTTATTTTGGCGTCGTAGACTTGTCCATGGTTAGATTGTTTTAAAAAAGAATAAACTTGTAAATTACTGTAAAACCTCTGATCTTATTTTCAGTTCTGCAATGGCATCAGCGTCCCCTCATAACCGAACTGCTCAGTGTTCGCAGACAAGCCAGCTGGATGATCAAAATATCATGTGTGTTCCGGCCAGAGCTGCCACCGAGGCCCCGCCCAACAACACCAGCAGTGCTCGAGCTGCCAGGGTTGGGGGTGATCAGTGTCAGTGTGAACAGAGAGCAAACAATGGTGGAGCTGGGTATGTGTCTTGGCTAACATATAGTTCCTGAAATAAAGTTATGAATGACGTTAAATAAACTTAATTATACAAGGGAACCCTCGTGCATGAGGGAGCCCTAAATGTTCTTAATGTCTGGAGTTGAAAAGGGGATGATCAATACAGGCCTGTAGGGCTGAAAAAGGGGATGAGAGTGGAATGTTTTATTAAATATATGCTGCACGGCCTGCAAGTGGGTATCAGGTGTGGAAGCGCAGGGTTGAAACCTAAGTGTGCATCTGCAACATTAATGGTTTAATAGTATTTCCCTTATCGAGAATTTACAAGATCTGACCGTTTAGTGGTAGATTACAGTAAATGTGCGGAACTAGATAAAGTAATGCATATTACAATTCTGACGATCGCGAGTGACCAACAGAAGAGACAGAAACTGAACGATGCTAAAGGTCTGTTTTCTGATTTACAGACAAAGAACAGCAGCACGCCATCCCATACAGTGTTCCCAGGAGACCACGTGCTCGGGAAGTTAGAGTGTGGGGGTGGGAGTATGCACGGGAATGGACAGTGGTCGGATAAGATTTATAGTCACATCGGCAATGTTTCAATCTCATTAAAATCAGATCTAGGTTCACTCTGCCGTTAAACAAAGATCTACCGACTATGTGACTACGGTTGGGTCAGAGAGGAGCCAGCGTTTCATATCAATCTTTGTGAAATAAATATGATCATCAATTGAGGTTGACAAATGCCCGTAGGGTGATAATTATCCCGTCTTCATTGACCATTGTTCACCGGTGCTTCAGTTTTTTCAATCAGTTGATCATCACTGAAATATGATGGAACATTCTGTAGTAGAATATAACATCTGTCTTGTTGTTTTTTTATATGAAGATAAAGCTTTTAAATATTGTGTACATTTTAATACGTGAAATAATATATAAATTATGTCATTTGAAAACATGATTTACTTGTTAAATGTCAATTTGTCCATTTACATATGTTAATACAAATTTGTATCTGTACAGAATATATGTCTGTTTTGAATGCGAACGGAATGACAACGTGACATCCGAACTCACGGCAGAGGTTCCGTAGAGGTGAACATTGGAGCCGATTTTATACTCAGGGGATTCTAGTAGTTATAGCCAAGCAGTAGTAGTCGTAGTAGTCGTAGTCGCAGTAGTAGTAGTAGTAGTAGTAGTAGTAGTAGTAGTTGAAAAAGTAGTAGAAGTAGTAGTGGTAGTAGTCGTAGTAGTAGTAGTAGTAGTAGTAGTAGTAGTAGTAGTGGTAGTAGTAGTAGTAGTAGTAGTAGTGGTGGTGGTGGTGGTGGTGGTACTGGTAGTAGTAGTAGTAGTACTAGTAGTAGTAGCAGTAGTAGTAGTAGTAGTGGTGGTAGTAGTAGTAGTGGTAGTAGTAGTAGTGGTGGTAGTAGTAGCAGTGGTGGTGGTGGTGGTAGTAGTAGTAGTTTAGTAGTAGTAGTAGTCGTGTAGTTTGCTTGTAAGATACTAGGGCTCAAAATAATAAAGGGGGAAGTGTGTGTGTGTGTGTGTGTGTGTGTGTGTGTGTGTGTGTGTGTGTGTTGTGTGTGTGTGTGTGTGTGTGTGTGTGTGTGTGTGTGTGTGTGTGTGTGTGTGTGTGTGTGTGTGTGTGTGTGTGTGTGTGTGTGTGTGTGTGTGTGTGTGTGTGTGTGTGTGTGTGTGTGTGTGTATGTGCCGGTCATATAGTGCTCAGACACATTATACTGACTGCGACCCGACCACTACTTTAACGTCTTTTGATATGATGCGACTGGGCATCGAACTACCGACCTTGCGCTCTCCCGGCAGACCCTCTGTCAACCAGACACGGAGACGGAGACATCTCAACATGTTGTGGAACCCTCGATTACTTGATCAACCTTGTGCACATGAAAACCTACACCAGTCTACAGGATGAGGGTGTGAGTGAGTGAGCGTGTTTGTAAGCCGTTCAAAGCAGTGTTTCAGTGATATCACACCACGAGTTGGCAGGAGACGTTGTAAGCATGGGTCCTGGAATGGCATTGTCCCGGAAGTGGTGAAGTAGTGAGGTGATATCAGAAGAAGCTACTGTAAAATCACCGAAGGTCTTTCGCAAGTCTCTGCTCGGGGACAAAATCAACCAACATTTCTATTGACATATTTTATTTTATTTCTTATGAAGATTTTATCATTTATAATGATCTTCCGCCCGAACCAGGTGCTGTATATGGTTTTAACGTATGTGTTCTGTTCAAAGAATCAAGATGTATTTCATGCCATTGCAGTTAGTTCCTCTTCCGCAGACAGTAGGTCTGTAGACAAGACTTGACGTCATATTCTGTGAAGTCCTGAGGCATCGCGTCTTTCTGAGCGTCACCGCTGAAGGCCTCGCTGAAGTCGTACACATACTCATCCAGATATACCACGTCGCAAATGTCGCCTGCGTAAAAACAATGTGCAGACTATCTCACAGACTATGATCGTTGATACGGACAAATTCATATTTTAAATTCGCTTTCGGCAAGTATGAGTAGAACGATATCACTGGCGGATCCAGAACAAACCCAAACCACCCCCACACCCACCCCCACCCCACCCCTCTGTAAAATTATCTAAGACTGTAACATTATCTGGGAGAGAATTTTGGACCCCTCCCTTTTAGAAATACTGGCTCCGCCCTTGTGGAGGAAAGCACGAAGTGATGCACGTCTTAGATGTTTTTTTACTACTTTGATGAAACCCTGTAGCCATGACAGGCAGCCCAGAAACAATCATGGCGACCTGGGATTCGAATCCACTATCAAAGCTTTCTGACACTCTTGGGAAACGCAACTCTGCAACTCTCCACAGCAAATTGTCCAAACTTCGACGACTGGACACCGTGTTCCTAACATAACATAATCGTATGGTGAAGGGTTTACCGTATAACTCTTTCAGCTGCCCTTCATTGAAATGATAGGGAGCCCCTGCAATGAAGGAGACACTGCCACCGTGATCTGCACTCGGAAGACTCAGCAGTTACATTTTACCTTTTCGATACAATATATTAATCTATTCAACAACATATATTTTTACTTTATCTATTGTTGTTAAATTTGGAATAAGCCCGAGGTGTTCTAAAACAGGCAGTATAACATACACGAAACAATGAGTGTGAAAGAAATCATTTTAATGTAAAACTGAAAGTATAAGAGAGCTATTACTACATCAAACGTTATCATACTATGCACGAGTCGTTACGGCTGTATGAAGAGTGACTGAACAAGAAGATAAGGCTGTTAAAAGCCCATTCAGTTAAACTCTCATAATAATATCTAAATGATAACGAATTAGAATATCTTGGCTATATAATAACTAATAATAGGTGTCTGACAGTCACAATTGCCAGATGTAACATCTAATAATACCTGAACCTCCTTCCTTTGGGAACTCCAGCATTGTGATACACCTGGGCTTCATCACTCCTCTGACAGCTTCCATGTACCTGGAATACAAGCCATCACAGAGATGATTTGTCTCTATATTCACACTTTCAGTTACTTGTGAGACACTCCCCTGACAGCTTCCATGTACCTGGAATACAAGCCATCACAGAGGTGATTTGTCTCTATATTCACACTGTCAGTTACTTGTGAGACACTCCCCTGACAGCTTCCATGTACCTGGAATACAAGCCATCACAGAGATGATTTGTATCTATATTCACACTGTCAGTTACTTGTGAGACACTCCCCTGACAGTTGTCATGTACCTGGAATACAAGCCATCACAGAGGTGATTTGTCTCTATATTCACAATGTCAGTTACTTGTGAGACGCTCTCCTGACAGCTTCCATGTACCTGGAATACAAGCCATCACAGAGGTGATTTGTCTCTATATTCACACTGTCAGTTACTTGTGAGACACTCCCCTGACAGCGTCCATGTACCTGGAATTCAACCATCACAGAGGTGATTTGTCTCTATATTCACACTGTCAGTTACCTTTTGCATTGTATAAGTCATACTGTTCTTATAAGACAGCACGTCCTATGTAGGAACTCAAACACTTAAGTACGACTGTAAATGGTCTTAGAAAGTATTAAAATTTGAATCGAATCAAGCACCGAAATCACATATCTATTCATTGACTAAACGACCCGTGGAAATCCGGGGTAGAATAATTCTTCAGCAACCCATGCTTGCTGTAAAAGGCGACTATGCTTGTCGTGAGAGGCGACTAACGGGATTGGAAGGTCAGGCTCGCTGACTTGGTTGATGCATGTCATTGTATCCCAATTGTGTGGATCGATGCCCACGACATCAATCACAGGATTGTCTGGTCAAGATTCGATTATTTACAGACCGCCGTCATATAGCTGGAATATAACTTACTTGTGTCTGTCCCTCTCATCTACAGCGCACATCGCCCCCGCGTCCCAGACGAAGTCAAACTTCCCCTCCAGATTCCTGGAACACAATAAACCCATCACAGTGTTATTTGTGAAGTGTTTGAGAGAAACACAATAAAACCACCACAGTTTGTTGTTGTTGTAAAACTTCCCCTCAAGATTCCTTGAACAATAAAACCATCTTAGTGCGTTGTTATAGGTGGACATTATGAGTGGAATACAGTAAAACATTCGCATTGTTCTTACTGGTGGAGAATCTGAGAGAAACACAATATGACCACATCAGTGTTTTGTGTAGTCATGGAACGTCTGGGAGAAATACACTAAAACCATTTCAGATTATTGTTATTAGTGGACTGTCTGGGAGAAATACAGTAATAACATTTCAGTTTACTGTTATTAGTGGAGTGTCTGAGAGAAACCCACTAAAACCATTTCAGATTACTGTTACTAGTGGAGCGTCTGAGAGAAACCCACTTAAACCATTTCAGTTTACTGTTATTTGTGGATTGTCTGAGAGAAACACACTAAAACCATTTCAGATTACTGTTATTAGTGGAGCGTCTGAGAGAAACACACTTAAACCATTTCAGATTACTGTTCTTGGTGGAGTGTCTGAGAGAAAAACACTAAAACCATTTCAGATTACTGCTATTTGTGGAGTGTCCGAGAGAAACACACTTAAACCATTTCAGTTTACTGTAATTAGTGGAGTTTCTAAGAGAAACACACTAAAACCATTTCAGATTACTGTTCTTAGCGGAGTGTCTGAGAGAAACCCACTTAAACCATTTCAGATTACTGTTATTAGTGGAGTGTCTGAGAGAAAAAACACTAAAACCATTTCAGCTTACTGTTATTAGTGGAGTGTCTGAGAGAAACCCACTTAAACCATTTCAGATTACTGCTATTTGTGGAGTGTCTGAGAGGAAAACACTAAAACCATTTCAGATTTACTGCTATTTGTGGAGTGTCTGAGAGAAACACACTAAAACCATTTCAGATTACTGCTATTTGTGGAGTGTCTGGGAGAAACACACTAAAACCATTTCAAGTTACTGTTATTTGTGGAGTGTCTGAGAGAAACACACTTAAACCATTTCAGTTTACTGTTATTAGTGGAGTTTCTGAGAGAAACACACTAAAACCATTTGAGATTATTGTTATTAGTGGAGTGTCTGAGAGAAACCCACTTAAACCATTTCAGTTTACTGTTATTTGTGGATTGTTTGAGAGAAACACACTTAAACCATTTCAGATTACTGTTATTAGTGGAGTGTCTGAGAGAAACACACTGAAACCATTTCAGTTTACTGTTATTTGTGGATTGTCTGAGAGAAACACACTAAAACCATTTCAGATTACTGCTATTTGTGGAGTATCTGAGATAAACACACTAAAACCATTTCAGATTACTGTTATTATTGGAGTGTCTGAGAGAAAAAACACTAAAACCATTTCAGATTACTGTTATTAGTGGACTGTCTGAGAGAAAAACACTAAAACCATTTCAGATTACTGCTATTTGTTGAGTGTCTGAGAGAAACACACTAAAACCATTTCAGATTACTGTTATTAGCGGAGTGTCTGAGAGAAACACACTTAAACCATTTCAGATTACTGTTATTTGTAGAGTGTCCAACAGAAACACACTAAAACCATTTCAGTTTACTGTTCTTGGTGGAGTGTCTGAGAGAAACACAGTAAAATTATCAAAATTTGTCATTCGAGAACTGAGGGAGAGACAGAGTGTCCAAGTAAAACCCCTCAGTGAGTCATTCGTGGGTGCAGGGAGTGAAACACTAACATGGAAACTGTCAGCTCCGGATGGACTGAGCTCTGATGTAGCGAACATTAGGATATAAACATTCTTACCCCGAATCCCTCAAATAACATGTGGTGATTGTTAATTTGAAAACCTATTTCGCCATATAGTGCAGCAAGGGGTAAAAAAATCGAGTCCGTTTGATCCGAGGGTGATTACAGTTAATAAGGACGCAGTGTCTGTCTGTTTCTTTAGATATACTCAAATCTAAATCATATGTCCCCAAAACCGAAGGTTGCATCAAATAATGTTGAAACGTGATTTGAAAGTCTTTCGGCTTCGGTATTTTCGAAGGGTATTTTTGTGAGTGAGTGAGTGATTGTGTGTATTTAGCAATATTCCAGCAATATCACGGCGGGGGACACCAGAAATGGGCTTCACACATTGCACCCATGCCGGGAATCGAACCCGGATCTTCGGCGTGAACCACCACGCTTTAACCACTAGGCTACCCGACCGCCCCTTATCTATACGATTGCATTACATGTCATATAGTCATGCTCACCTTATTATTCAAACTCTAAGGACAGGGATCAAATCACAATAACGATTGTCTGAATATACTTACTCATCAAAACGAAAGAAGTTCCCCACATAGAATTTGAAGTTGCCACTTGCATTCTGTGTAGAAATAGAACAAGACGGTGCAGGATACCAACTGATCTCATGGCATAGATCTTCGCAACGATTTTCTGTATTCGGGTTGGATAACTGTATCTTAAATTCTTTATTTTGCTTTGGTTATAAAGTTGTGATTGTAATCAACTGAACTGAAGAGGTACATAGAAAACCTTGCAAATACGTTCAGGTTGGCTCGTCTTGATCTCAAATACAAGTATGACCTTACAAACACGTGCATGTTGGTTCATGCTGACCTCAAATACAAACAAGGCCTTACAAACACATGCATGTTGGTATGTGCTGACCTCAAATATAAACAAGGCCTTACAAATACGTGCAGATTTGTTCGTGTTGATCTCAAATACAAGCAATGCCTTATAAATACGTGCAGATTTGTTCGTGTTGATCTCAAATACAAGCAATGCCTTACAAACACGAGCAGGTTGGTTTGTGCTGACCTCAAATACAACCAAGGCCTTACAAATACGTGCAGATTTGTTCGTGTTGACCTCAAATGCTAGCAAGGCCTTACAAACACGTGCAGGTTGGATCGTGCTGACCTTAAATACAAACAGGGCCTTACAAATACGTGCAGGTTGGTTCGTGTTGACCTCAAATGCTAGCAAGGCCTTACAAACACGTGCAGGTTGGTTTGTGCTGACCTTAAATACAAGCAAGGCGTTACAAACACCTGCAGGTTGGTTCGCTTTTACCTGCAATACAGGCATGACCATGTCAACGCGTGGAAGTTGGAGCGTGTTGTGGATCTCAAATACAAACAATGCCTTGCAAACACGTTGTGATGTGTTGACTTTAAATACAAGGTATCCTTGCAAACACGTTCGCGTTGGATTGTGTCAACCTCAAATACAAGTATAGCATTGCTTGTACGAGTACGTTGGATAGTATTGACCTCAAATATAAGCAAGGCCTTACACACACGTCAGGTTGGGTCACGCCGACCATAAATACAAGCAATGCCTTGTTTGGGAGCATGTGTGCAATGAATGTTACACACCTCGTTACATACCTCGGCGCATGTATGGCGTAGACCAGGGACTCTGTGTAGGTCAATGATGATATATAGACCCTCTGTGTGAACAAAGAGTATCATACTTTTCTTCTGACTGGTGCCATTACCTTGTAAAGTTTCCCCGCGATACTGGGGACGTCTTCAATGATTGGTTCCTGCTTGTACTGTTTGAAGATCCGCTATCATCGATATCAGGGAGTCTATATTATTGCAGTTAGTGTAATTAGATAGTAAGCAATGAACATACTTAATAATACAAATTCAAAAGAAACGGGGGACACGGTTGGCCCTGTCGTCTTAGGTGTCGCGATTCGCTGTGCAGATTTGCGTCCCTTGGGTACGCCTGAAACCTATGATTGTGGGTTGGAATCCCGGTTCGCCCCGATTATGTTTCAAGGGTTGTCAGCACATAATCCGTGCTCGTGGGTTTCACCAAAGTGGTTAACGTCTGAGACCTGTATCACTTCGGGCTTTCCTCCCTCATTAAGCTGACACGCCGTTATATAACTGGAATACTGTTAAAAGCGGCGTTAAACCCAACACACTCACCCAAAAGAAACGCCTCTCCATCCTGAACTGGGATGTCGCAGAACTTGACCTACACAACGGTTTCTCGCCCCTACTGCCAAAGGCTGCCGATATTGTTTTTGACGGTCTCCGTGCCTCTGACAGGTTCCACGAAACAAGATGACAACCCCGATCTTTGATGTGGTTCAACATGAACCTGTAGATTGCATGGGGCTGAGCCTGCTGGCATGACGTAATTGCCAATGGAATCCTATGAAGACTATATTGATAGACGCGTGGGTGCATCTCATGTGCTGATTTGACAGACACTCACCAGATGAGGTCATAGGTCGTGGCACAGAGGGGGACGAGGATTTTCAGACCTTTTCGTCCCTCGGTAACTTTCTCAAAGTATTTCACCAGATTCCTGAAAGGACATTGTCAGAAACTTGAGTTTGCAAATATTGTTGTAAATAATCCCGTACATACATTATATAATGACTCATGTCTTCAGTTGGTATGAACTGAGTAATAGCTCATGATATGTTAAGTGCAAAATAATCATATAATTGCATATTAGCTTTTAAACAGTATTGAACAAATATATTCAGAGAAGCAAACGCTCTCTGGTGAATCGCAGTCCATTATAAAGTTGCATGTACACACGTTCAGTCGTAGCAATGTATGGAAATACTGTCTTCTGTTAGTGAGATTACTTTGCATTATTTCATAAACATGCGACTTGTAATCTTCGTATAAACGAAGAAAACAAAGAGTGAATATCATATATTAATCGATTCATGAAACCCAAGCCAACTTTCACCACATGCATGCTTCCCCGTCATTCAAGTTCAGGTGAAGCCAAGGTGCCCAACCTACTCTACCCTATGTATTCCTACTGGCCGAGCTCCGTGTAGGTGAAGTCCCAGTGTCCAACCTACTCTACCCTATGTATACGTACTGGTCGGGCTCCGTGTAGGTGAAGTCCCAGTGCCCGACCTACTCTATCCTATGTATACGTACTGGTCGGACTCCGTGTAGGTGAAGTCCCATTGCCCGACCTACTCTATCCTATGTATACCTACTGGTCGGGCTCCGTGGAGGTGAAGTCCCAGTGTCCAACCTACTCTACCCTATGTATACCTACTGGCCACGTGTAGGTGAAGTCCCAGTGCCCGACCTACTCTACCCTATGTATTCCTACTGGCCGAGCTCCGTGTAGGTGAAGTCCCAGTGTCCGACCTACTCTATCCTATGTATATCTACAGGCCGGGCTCCGTGTAGGTGAAGTCCCAGTGTCCGACCTACTCTACCCTATGTATACCTACTGGTTCCGTGTAGGTGAAGTCCCCGTGCCCAACCTACCCTACCCTATGTATACCTACTGGTCGGGATCCGTGTAGGTGAAGTCCCAGTGCTCGACCTACTCTACCCTATGTATACCTACTGGATCCGTGTAGGTGAAGTCCAAGTGCCCGACCTACTCTACTCTATGTATACCTACTGGCTCCCTGTAGGTGAAGTCCCAGTGACTGACCTACTCTACCCTATGTATACCTACGGGCCGGGCTCCGTGTAGATGAAGTCCAAGTGCCTGACCTACTCTACCCTATGTATACCTACTGGCTCCGTGTAGGTGAAGTCCCAGTGCCTGACCTACTCTTCTCTATGTATACCTACTGGCCGGGCTCCGTGTAGATGAAGTCCCAGTGCTCGACCTACTCTACCCTATGTATACCTACTGGATCCGTGTAGGTGAAGTCCCAGTGCCCGACCTACTCTACTCTATGTATACCTACTGGCCGGGCTCCTTGTAGGTGAAGTTCCAGTGCCCGACCTACTCTACCCTATGTGCACACACAAACACACACACACACCACACACACACACACACACACACACACACACACACACACACACACACACACACACACACACACACACACACACACACACACACACACACACACACACACACACACACACACACACACACACACACACACACACACACACACACACACACACACACAAAGGCAGAGGACAACTGTTGATTATCAAATAATCACTATAAGATCGTTGTGAGACCATCAGATTTCTTCATCAGCATTTGTAAGTCATATGTTGTAGTAACCGGCGCAACATCGGATGGCTGTGTAGTCGTAGACTGTGTCACGTTGAACAGTCGTCCCCGCTAGTAACTCACATTGTCTGTAGTCAGGAACAGGTGGCCACAATGTGTGACCAGGCCGGTTGTGTGTCACAAAAGCCCTACAGTGCTCATGCTATCAACCACGGGTTGCCTGGACCAGACTCCATTGTTTCCAGGCACCCGTGATATACCTGGAATGTTGCTGGTAGTGGTACATCATATTCACTGCCTCGTATTCATCATCTTCCCAAGGTAAGAGTGTATACTAGCCTATAATAAAGTCTACATTCTACCCTTGCCATTTCAAGTTTACATTGTCTTGGCTCGATCGTGGTGCCACCTCGTGTAGGACACGAGTTGTGTCCCTTGTGATGAAAACGCTAACTCTTATCAGATCGCAATTCTTATTTCGATTTGAGATTTCATCCCTAACAGACAAAAACAATAACAATTTACCACAGTAAAGATGATTGTCGCTGCCGCAATACCCAGGGAAACAGGCTGTAGAGGCATATTGACTATCAGTGTCAAGTATGGCTGCTATCGCTAAACATATCACTGCTTCTGAGTCACCGTGATAAGCGTTCAGTCATTCGAGTTAAAAAGATAAAAATGAAGGTTTAACTCAAATATATAAAAGTACCTTTGCGAGTTGATTGAACACTGAACCATTTCGAAAATATTTGTCCTCGCTTAATTTTGAAAATATTTTAAACACAAATTCTACAGGCGATAGCTGGGACCACGTTTTCGGAACCGAATTTTAATTTGTAAAATCGTGCGATAGTCGGCATGATGTGGCAAGGGTGATAACTAGACTTTGCTACAGGCAAGTTGACACTCCTGAGTCTTCCCACATATCCACTGCCTCGTAGTTATTCACTCATATTCACTGCCTCGTAGTCAGTCACTCATATTGACGTCCTCGTAGTCATTCCCACATATCCACTGCCTCGTAGTCATTCCCACATATCCACTGCCTCGTAGTCATTCCCACATATCCACTGCCTCGTAGTCATTCCCACATATCCACTGCCTCGTAGTCATTCCCACATATCCACTGTCTCGTAGTCATTCCCACATATCCACTGCCTCGTAGTCATTCACTGCCTCGTAGTCATTCCCACATATCCACTGCCGTGTAGTAATTCACTGCCTCGTAGTCATTCCCACATATCCACTGCCTCGTAGTCATTCCCACATATCCACTGCCTCGTAGTAATTCACTGTCTCGTAGTCATTCCCACATATCCACTGCCGCGTAGTAATTCACTGCCTCGTAGTCATTCCCACATATTCACTGCCTCGTAGTCATTCCCACATATCCACTGCCTCGTAGTCATTCCCACATATCCACTGCCTCGTAGTCATTCCCACATATCCACTGCCTCGCAGAAAATCACTCATATTCACAGCCTCGTAGTCATTCACTCATATCCACTGCCTCGTAGTCATTCACTCATATCCACTGCCTCGTAGTCATTCACTCATATTCACTGCCTCGTAGTCATTCACTCATATTCACTGTCTCATATTTATTCGTTTATAATCACTGCCTCATATTCATTCGCTTATATTCACTGCCTCATAGTCATTCGCTTATATTCACTGCCTCATATTCATTCGCTTATATTCACTGCTTCATATTCGTTAACTCATATTCACTCATTTACACATGGTATTCCAAAATTACTTCACTTGTGTAGCGGCGTGCTTGTACAACAAGCCCACTTACGCCGGTCTTACAGTCCAGCCAAGTGAGATACCATGCCGCAGCTTAACATGGATGCACCATGGATGCCCCACTCAGAAACAGTAATTGACTCCACTCAACCAGACGCCGCATTTCCTAAACCCGAGCGCCAGGCAGGATAACAACAAGTACCATCTTTCACGTATGACTCCCTCGTCCAGAGGATCGAACCACCTACCTTCTGCACCCCTCAATGAATCTGTCTGATATATAACCGAGGGTTGGTTTGCCACACCAGGTTCACTCCTCTAGTTCGCCTCGCATACTGCATGTGAAATTCCATTGACACGCTGTTGCACCGTGCATTAAATAAGATGCAAGTCATTGTTGCTTCTTGCGCAGTCATGCCGGCATATCTAGAATATGATATGTAACATGACTATTAAGTCCGATGAAGTTTTTACGAAATTGTAGACCTTCGAAATGATATTTCGTAAATTAAATTTGCTTGCATAGTAAAGGATTTACTGAACCGAGATTGCATGAGATGACAGGTATATTAGTGAACCAGCGTTATTCTCACCAACCTGAAAATATGCCCGTCGTGTTGAACTGCGGAACTCAATGACTGCGGGCCTTAAGTTTGCAGTGGGAGGAGCTTGTGTTATCACATGACATTAACTTCGGCCAAAAAAGTTGAGGTCCAAAGAATACATCTCAGTGATGTCATTGCGTGATAAGATGTCTCACGCACAATCTGCACATGCGGTATACTCTTAAAAACAAGAAGAGGATCATGGAAATGGAAATATCAAGTAATAGTAACAAAGATACGTGTTGACAAGAAACGTCCTATGCAAGAACGTTTGCAAATCGTTGTTTCATGTTTCAGGAGAATACAAACTACAGGTGTGTATAACAAACAGTCCCATGCAAACGATAAACGCAAACCTAAATAACTAGGTTATTGATAAAGAGTGAGGAAGTGGGTTCGCTTTATCACCGCTTTTAACAGTATTCCAGTTAAATCACGGCGTGTCAGCTTAATGTTGGAGGAAAGCTCGAAGTGATGCAGGTCTCAGACGTTTACCACTTCGGTGAAACCCACGAGCAAGGGCATGGTGCTGACAAACCTAGAAACATAATCGGGGCGAACCGGGATTCGAACCCACAATCACAGGTTTCTGGCTTGCCCAAGGGATGCAACTCTGCACAGCGAATCGCGGCGCCTTAGACGACTGGGCCACCCGTGCCCCCTTGAGGAAATTAAAAGAAACCCACACCCACTCCCACCCACTCATGGTGAAACGTAAAACGTATAAAACGTGACACATAGAGAAGAGGTAGTTCCGCCTCGATCACTCCGCCCCAGCATGAGAGAGATAAGACGAACAATAGATAGGAACGTGGCCCGGGCCAAGATGATTGTAAGGTGTTTCATACAGGTTCACCTACAATGTCCCCTTTGTTAACTGGAACCATACAATGTAATTTCTGGGTCTAGAGTAACATCCAAGCTGGACGATTATAAACGTATAATATTAAACTTTGTTAACATATTTGATATTGTCAGGCTGACTGAAACATGGTTGAAGGAGACAGATTTGATATTACTATTTACATCACATCTTCCCAAGGCAAGCGTGTCCACAAGCCTCTATCAAACCCTAGTTTCTACCCTTGCCACATCAGGGCCACTGTTTTTTGTAACAGTATTGATTAGAAAAACTTTAGCTCATCTTGTAGAGTGGACCAAAGTGTGTGAGAGTGGTATATGAAAGACGGTTTACTGAAAGACCTGCTGTATGCATGTGTTTATATTCACCCGGAGTCTTCAACCTGGTATAATACCCTGTTACGTCAATGTGAAAACCTTATATAACTATTATAAGATGATCTGTTGTATGCATGTGTTTATATTCACCCGGAGTCTTCAACCTGGTAGAATACCCTGTTACGTCAATGTGAAAACGTTATATTACTATTATAAGATGATCTGTTGTATGCATGTGTTTATATTCACACGGAGTCTTCAACCTGGTATAATACCCTGTTACGTCAATGTGAAAACGTTATATTACTATTATAAGATGATCTGTTGTATGCATGTGTTTATATTCACCCGGAGTCTTCAATCTGGTATAATACCCTGTTACGTGAATGTGAAAACGTTATATTACTATTATAAGATGATCTGTTGTATGCATGTGTTTATTCTCACCCGGAGTCTTAAACCTGGTATAATACCCTGTTACGTCAATGTGAAAACGTTATATTACTATTATAAGATGATCTGTTGTATGCATGTGTTTATATTCAGCCGGAGTCTTCAACCTGGTGATAATACCCTTTTACGTCAATGTGAAAACGTTATATTACTATTATAAGATGATCTGTTGTATGCATGTGTTTATTCTCACCCGGAGTCTTCAACCTGGTATAATACCCTTTTACGTCAATGTGAAAACGTTTTTTTACTATCATAAGATGGTCTGTTGTGAGGATGTGTATATTATTATCTTAATTCTTGGGGTGACACACTACCTGATTTTGTGGAAGACAATGTCCTAGATTTTTTGGAAGGTAAAGATAACAACAGTTGGGATTTTTGATTGGATAGTTTTAGCATGAAACGATTTTCGGTAGTTTCAACTATAAACAGGTTTAGTAAATGCTTTTTAGATATGTGCAGTATTCTTAACAATCATATTATTAATGGAAGATGCGAATCAGACGCGGGTGTAGGGGGGTTTCTCTTTTAAAGGACATCAAGGTGTCAACAAGAATAAGATTATTTGCAGACCACTGTCATGTGCATGTAGCTGACATATTGCTGAGTGAGGCGTTATGCAAGAAATAAACTACCAGAACACGTTTTCCTTAACGCTAAACAAACATATGTCGCCTCTTACGACAAGCATAGTCGCCTCTTGCGGCAAGCATGTGTTGCTGAAGACCTATTTTAACCCGGATAATCACGGGACAACCACAAGACTATTGGATACATATAAGATTCTATCAATTGATGTCCAATTAATAACATAAATATTCAATCTGTACCAACACACCATTGGATATCAGCCACCTGTGTAAACACTGTTCAGGTGGACGAAAAGAGGCTTAAAATCCACAAAAATGTTATATGACCTTACTTTGAGTATTCATCGTGCACATTGTTAGTTCTTTCTTTTACAAAAGACCCGTGAAGATCCGGGGTAGAATAGATCTTCAGCAACCCATGCTTGTCCTAAATTGTCACAATGCTTGTCGTAAGAGGCGACTAACGGGATCGGGTGGTCAGGCTCGCTGACTTGGTTGATGCATGTGATCGATCCCAATTGCGTGGATCGATGCTCATGATATTAATCACTGGATTGTCTGGTCCAGACTCGATTATTTACAGACCGCCGTCATACAGCTGGAATATTGCTGAGTGCGGCTTTAAACAACAAACAAACAAAAACTTTATCTATTTATTGCCATTATAACTTATAAAAAAGCTCATCTTTCTACTCGTATGTTTTGCGGTTCACGACAAAAACAATGTAAAACTATTTTTTTCAATTTGATTTTTAAAATACTTTTTAAAACAAACTTGAGATAAAATCATAATGATTTGAACAAAATAAGATAATCAGAAGGAACACACGTGTCAAATTTCAGTTTCATAAGTCAAGAAGAGAAGTTATCTTAGTGCATGGCAAGGTATTTCTATTGCGAAGGTCATCTACAGGGATACTGTGGGTCGCGAGGTTATCTGTGAAGTAATGTAGATCGGTGACGCTTGCCTTGAGAGCCAAAGCAATGACTGTTTCAGTTTTGACACTGCTACCACTCTTGTCAAATTCTCACAAATACTGACAAGCCAGCAGTGAAGCTCACCCGGGCACCGAGCCAGGTAGCTGTGAAGCTCACCCGTGCACCGAGCCAGGCAGCAGTGAAGCTCACCCGGGCACCGAGCCAGGTAGCTGTGAAGCTCACCCGGGCACCGAGCCAGGCAGCAGTGAAGCTCACCCGGGCACCGAGCCAGGTAGCTGTAAAGCTCACCTGGGCACCGTGCCAGGCAGCTGTGAAGCTCATCTGGGCACCGAGGCAGGCAGCAGTGAAGCTCACCTGGGCACCGAGCCAGGAAGCAGTGAAGCTCACCTGGGCACCGACCCAGGAAGCAGTGAAGCTCATCTGGGCACCGAGCCAGGAAGCAGTGAAGGTCACCCGGGCACCGAGCCAGGCAGCTGTGAAACTCACCTGGGCACCGACTGTCCGCCTTGACATTTTTTCAGTCAAGTTTGGTTGCCTCTTCACCAGACATTTACAAGCTAGAGGGTCCAGGGAGGAGCTTCCCAATCATTGTGCATTTAAGAACTTATGTTGCTTAAGGTTTTCTATTGGAGGCCCTAAACCTACTCAGAGATCTTAACTACACACAAGTCCTTTTAATAAAGGCAGAGAGAAAATGAAGTTGGATAACAGACAACTGCTCACATCGGTATATATCCAATTGGTAGTCTTTTTATATATCTGGGAATCTGAAATGAAAATTGATGATTTTTAAAATAATTAACCCACCTTTGCCATACCAGAGGTTGCCTAGATCCTGCGTATAACAAATATAGGAAGCTGTGTTGTTAAAGTATTGAGTTGAGTGACAAAAGGTTTGACTACGTTGTTGTGACTAACTACTCTTCGCCCCGATTATGTTTCTAGGTTTGTCAGCACCATACCCGTGCTCGTGGGTTTCACCGAAGTGGTAAACGTCTGAGACCTGCATCACTTTGGGCTTTTCTACCACATTAAGCTGACACGCCGCTATATAACTGGAATACTGTTAAAAGCGGTGTTAAACAACTAACTTATCCTCAGAGAGAGAGAGAGAGAGAGAGAGAGAGAGAGAGAGAGAGAGAGAGAGAGAGAGAGGGAGAGAGAGAGAGAGAGAGAGGGGTCAATTTTAAGAATATCTGCATGTCTCCACTGATCTATTTCGTTATACAGAGATAATATTATCAAATCGGTCTAACATTAATCTAATTTCCAAACACAGTACGTTCATTCCCTAATTGTACCATGACTACGTGAAATACTCAAATTTGATTGGACAATCAATATCAGACATGTAATCAATTTAGATTGAAAATGCGTCTGATTTTATGACCGCTTCACTGCGCACTTAGCTCTATTACAGTTGCACTGTGTTGATGATATTTCTGTTGATTAAAGTTCCAAGAAACCCTCTGTTATCCTGAGCGTATTTCACTTTTGCAATCGGTGCAAAATGCTAGGTTCGATGGCTTATGACGGGGGAATGTCACGTATTTGAACAGTATTTGAGAGTGTATGGTAATGCGGTGTGAGGGTACTGAGAGTGTATGGTAATGCGGTGTGAGGGTACTGAGAGTGTATGGTAATGCGGTGTGAGGGTAATGCGGTGTGAGGGTACTGAGAGTGTATGGTAATGCGGTGTGAGGGTAATGAGAGTGTATGGTAATGCGGTGTGAGGGTAATGAGAGTGTGTGTGGTACTGAGAGTGTGTGTGGTACTGAGAGTGTATGGTAATGCGGTGTGAGGGTAATGAGAGTGTGTGTGGTACTGAGAGTGTATGGTAATGCGGTGTGAGGGTACTGAGAGTGTATGGTAATGCGGTGTGAGGGTACTGAGAGTATGTTTGGTACTGAGAGTGTATGGTAATGCGGTGTGAGGGTACTGAGAGTGTATGGTAATGCGGTGTGAGGGTAATGAGAGTGTGTGTGGTACTGAGAGTGTATGGTAATGCGGTGTGAGGGTACTGAGAGTGTATGGTAATGCGGTGTGAGGGTAATGAGAGTGTGTGTGGTACTGAGAGTGTATGGTAATGCGGTGTGAGGGTACTGAGAGTGTATGGTAATGCGGTGTGAGGGTACTGAGAGTATGTTTGGTACTGAGAGTGTATGGTAAGGCGGTGGGAGGTTAATGAGAGTGTGTGTGGTACTGAGAGTGTATGGTAATGCGGTGTGAGGGTACTGAGAGTGTATGGTAATGCGGTGTGAGGGTAATGCGGTGTGAGGGTAATGAGAGTGTATGTTAATGCAGTATGAGGATACTGATAGTGTATGGTAATGCGGTGTGAGGGTAATGAGAGTGTATGGTAATGCGGTATAAGGGTACTGAGAGTGTATGGTAATTCGGTGTGAGGATACTGAGAGTGTATGGTAATGCGTTGTGAGGGTAATGAGAGTGTATGGTAATGCGGTGTGAGGGTAATGAGAGTATATGGTAATGCGTTGTGAGGGTAATGAGAGTGTATGGTTATGCGGTGTGAGGGTACTGAGAGTGTTTGTGGTACTGAGAGTGTGTGTGGTACTGAGAGTGTGTGTGGTACTGAGAGTGTATGGTAATGCGGTGTGAGGGTAATGAGAGTGTGTGTGGTACTGAGAGTGTATGGTAATGCGGTGTGAGGGTACTGAGAGTGTATGGTAATGCAGTGTGAGGGTAATGAGAGTGTGTGTGGTACTGAGAGCGTATGGTAATGCGGTGTGAGGGTACTGAGAGTGTATGGTAATGCGGTGTGAGGGTACTGAGAGTATATGGTAATGCGGTATGAGGGTAATGAGAGTGTATGGCAATGCGGTGTGAGGGTAATGCGGTGTAAGGGTACTGAGAGTGTATGGTAATGCAGTGTGAGGGTACTGAGGGTGTATGGTAATGAAGTGTGAGGGTACTGAGAGTGTATGGTAATGCAGTGTGAGGGTAATGAGAGTGTATGGTAATGCGGTGTGAGGGTACTGAGAGTGTGTGTGGTACTGAGAGTGTGTGTGGTACTGAGAGTGTGTGTGGTACTGAGAGCGTATGGTAATGCGGTGTGAGGGTAATGAGAGTGTGTGTGGTACTGAGAGTGTATGGTAATGCGGTGTGAGGGTACTGAGAGTGTATGGTAATGCAGTGTGAGGGTAATGAGAGTGTGTGTGGTACTGAGAGTGTATGGTAATGCGGTGTGAGGGTGCAGAGAGTGTATGGTAATGCGGTGTGAGGGTACTGAGAGTATGTTTGGTACTGAGAGTGTATGGTAATGCGGTGTGAGGGTACTGACAGTGTATGGTAATGCGGTGTGAGGGTACTGAGAGTATGTTTGGTACTGAGAGTGTATGGTAATGCGGTGTGAGCTTAATGAGAGTGTGTGTGGTACTGAGAGTGTATGGTAATGCGGTGTGAGGGTACTGAGAGTGTATTGTAATGCGGTGTGAGGGTAATGCGGTGTGAGGGTAATGAGATTGTATGGTAATGCGGTGTGAGGGTACTGAGAGTGTATGGTAATGCGGTGTGAGGGTACTGAGAGTATGTTTGGTACTGAGAGTGTATGGTAATGCGGTGTGAGCTTAATGAGAGTGTGTGTGGTACTGAGAGTGTATGGTAATGCGGTGTGAGGGTACTGAGAGTGTATTGTAATGCGGTGTGAGGGTAATGCGGTGTGAGGGTACTGAGAGTGTATGGTAATGCGGTGTGAGGGTACTGAGAGTGTATGGTAATGCGGTGTGAGGGTACTGAGAGTGTATGGTAATGCGGTGTGAGGGTACTGAGAGTATATGGTAATGCGTTGTGAGGGTAATGCGGTGTGAGGGTACTGAGAGTGTATGGTAATGCGGTGTGAGGGTACTGAGAGTGTATGGTAATGCGGTGTGAGGGTAATGCGGTGTGAGGGTACTGAGAGTGTATGGTAATGTGGTGTGAGGGTACTGAGAGTATATGGTAATGCGGTATGAGGGTAATGAGAGTGTATGGTAATGCAGTGTGAGGGTAATGCGGTGTGAGGGTACTGAGGGTGTATGGTAATGCAGTGTGAGGGTACTGAGAGTGTATGGTAATGCAGTGTGAGGGTACTGAGAGTGTATGGTAATGCAGTGTGAGGGTACTGAGGGTGTATGGTAATGCAGTGTGAGGGTACTGAGGGTGTATGGTAATGCAGTGTGAGGGTAATGAGAGTGTATGGTAATGCGGTGTGAGGGTACTGAGAGTGTATGGTAATGCAGGGTGAGGGTACTGAGAGTGTATGGTAATGCAGTGTGAGGGTACTGAGAGTGTATGGTAATGCAGTGTGAGGGTAATGCGGTGTGAGGGTACTGAGAGTGTATGGTAATGCAGTGTGAGGGTACTGAGAGTGTATGGTAATGCAGTGTGAGGGTACTGAGGGTGTATGGTAATGCAGTGTGAGGGTACTGAGGGTGTATGGTAATGCAGTGTGAGGGTAATGAGAGTGTATGGTAATGCGGTGTGAGGGTACTGAGAGCGTATGGTAATGCAGTGTGAGGGTACTGAGTGTGTATGGCAATGCGGTGTGAGGGTACTGAGAGTGTATGGTAATGCGGTGTGAGGGTACTGAGAGTGTATGGTAATGCAGTGTGAGGGTACTGAGAGTGTATGGTAATGCAGTGTGAGGGTACTGAGAGTGTATGGCAATGCGGTGTGAGGGTACTGAGAGTGTATGGCAATGCGGTGTGAGGGTACTGAGAGTGTATGGTAATTAAGTGTGAGGGTACTGAGAGTGTATGGCAATGCGGTGTGAGGGTACTGAGAGTGTATGGTAATGTGGTGTGAGGGTAATGCGGTGTGAGGGTACTGAGAGTGTATGGTAATGCGGTGTGAGGGTAATGCGGTGTGAGGGTACTGAGAGTGTATGGTAATGCAGTGTGAGGGTACTGAGAGTGTATGGCAATGCGGTGTGAGGGTACTGAGAGTGTATGGTAATGCAGTGTCAGGGTAATGAGAGTGTATGGTAATGCAGTGTGAGGGTAATGAGAGTGTATGGTAATGCAGTGTGAGGGTACTGAGAGTGTGTTTGGTACTGAGAGTGTATGGTAATGCAGTGTGAGGGTACTGAGAGTGTATGGTAATGCGGTGTGAGGGTACTGAGAGTGTATGGTAATGCGGTGTGAGGGTACTGAGAGTGTATGGTAATGCAGTGTGAGGGTAATGAGAGTGTATGGTAATGCAGTGTGAGGGTAATGAGAGTGTGTGTGGTACTGAGAGTGTATGGTAATGCGGTGTGAGGGTAATGAGAGTGTATGGTAATGCGGTGTGAGGGTACTGAGAGTGTATGGTAATGCGGTGTGACGGTACTGAGAGTGTATGGCAATGCGGTGTGAGGGTAATGAGAGTGTATGGTAATGCGGTGTGAGGGTACTGAGAGTGTATGGTAATGCAGTGTGAGGGTACTGAGAGTGTATGGTAATGCGGTGTGAGGGTAATGAGAGTGTATGGTAATGCAGTGTGAGGGTACTGAGAGTGTGTTTGGTACTGAGAGT